GAAATGCAAATTAAAACAACTCTGAGGCATCACCGCACACCTGTCAGATTGGCTAATATTACAGAATAGGACAATGACAAATGCTGGAGGGGATGTGGGAAAATTGAGACACTAATGTACTATTGGTGGAGTTGTGAGTTGATCCAACCATTCTGGAGAGCAATTTGGAACTGTGGCCACAGGGCTATAAAACCATGCCTACGCTTTGAAACAGCAGTACTACAACCAGGTCTATATCCCAAAGAGATTTTTTAAAAAAGGAAAAGGATACATATGTACAAAAATATTTATAGCAAATCTTTTAGTAATGGCAAAGAATTGGAAATTGAGGGGATGCCCATCAATTGGGGAATGGCTGAACAGGTTATGGTATGTGATTGTGATAGAATGTTATTGTGCTATAAGAAATGCCAAGTAGGATGGCCTCAGACATGAACTGATGCAAAGTAAAATGAGCAGAACCAGAACATTATGCACAGTAACAGCAATATTGCATGATGATTAACTGTCAATGACTTAACTATTCTCAGCAATACAATGATCTAAGACAGGTCTGAAGGACTTATGATGAAAAATGCTATCCATCTCCAGAAAAAGAACTAGTGGAGTCTGAACACAAATCAAAGTGTACCTTTTTTTGAACTTTATTTTTCTCGGGTGATTTTTTGTCTGTGTTTTCTTTCATAATATGACTGACATGGAAATATGTTTTGCATGACTGTACCTTTATCAAATTGCTTGCCTTCTCAATTGGGGGAGGGAGGGTAAGGGAAGGAAGAAAAGAATTTGGAGCTCAAAATTTAAAAAAAACTAATGTTTTTACATGCATTAGTGAAAAATAAAATATTAAATAAAAAAACTTTCTCTGAGGGTTTTCCTTTCTTCACTTTCTATAGTATTAATTCCATTAGGTCTGTGAACCTATGCATGTGGATAGTGCATCCAGTAATATAAATCACAGTGCATTTGTGCCAGTCCATTTTGCATGACAAGAGCAGGTAGTATGGTTTCATGGATAGTGAGTACAATGGACACAGCATCAGGAAGACCTGAATTCAAATTCTATCTCTGTAAAATAAAGGATTGGATTGCTGAATCTTTGTTTTTCTTTTTTTTTCCCCACTTAATAGTATTTTATTTTTTCCAACTACATGTAAAGATAGCTTTCAACATTCACTTTTACAAGATTTGGAGTTCCAAATTTTTTCCTCCCTCCCTTTCCTTCCCACTGCCCAAGACCACAAGCAATCTGATATAGGCTGTACATGTATGGTCACATTAAACATTTCCACATTAGTCGTGTTGTGAAAGAACAATCAGAACAAAAGGGAAAAACCATGAGGAAAAAAAAGAGAAAACAGTATGCTTTGATCTGCATTCAGACTCTGTAGTTCTTTTTCTGGATGTGGATAGCATTTTCCATCCTGAGTCTTTTGAAATTAGATCATTGTTGCAGAGAAGAGCTATGTCTATCAAAGCTGGTCATCACACAGTGTAGCTGTTACTCTGTACAATGTTCTTCTGGTTCTTGGATTCTTTAAGGTCCCTTCTAGGTCTGTGAGCCTGTACTCTTGTCCACTTCTTCCCATAAGGTCTCTGCAAGGGAATCTAGTTAATATGCTGAATTCCTTCCTTGAGTTCTCTGGATATTACCAGGATACCAATGAAGCAACTGAATTATCCATCATTATTTCTTGCTGTCACTATGTGACCAGCCTTCTTTTTCAGACATATTTCTTTTTTGCCAAGGTTCTTAATTTGGGACCTGTAGACCCAAGAGGTGTATAAATAGATTTCAGGGAATCCATGAACTTATATGGGTAAAAAAAAATTTACATCTTTAATTTCACTAACCTCTAACTGAAATTTCCTTCAATTATGAATGTAAACAACAAACCGTATTCTGAGGAGTCCACAGATTTCTCCAGACTGTTCAAAGGGGTCCATGACACAACAGTTAAGAACTCTTGTTTTATGACATCCTTTACACTTTATAATTCTTTATAATTCCTTGTACATAGTGTTTTCCAACTGCTTACACATACCATGAACCTCTCCATTGCTTTCAGGATGATATTCGACTTCAATATTCTTTAGAGACTGTAGTGTTCTGCAACTCATGGGCATGTCACTTCACGAGAAGAGCAGGAGTATTAAAGAGATAGGCCTTTGTTTCAGGAAGAAGTTTAGTATCATTAAAAGAACTTTATAGCTTCCTATTCTTCATCCACTTGTTTTCTTTCCTCTGTGAATCATTTGGCCAAATAATTTTGAGTGACTATGAATTTCACTTAGGAGGCTTTGAAGTATTCCAGGGCTTGATATAATTATCACAGTATCATCCCCAGATGGGCAGCTAGGTGACACAGTGGATGTAGTGTCAGGCCTGGAATAAGGAGGGCTCATCTTCATGAGTCCAAATCTGGCCTCAGACATTTACTAGCTGCAACACCTTGGACAAGTCACTTAAACCTGTTTGCCTCAATTTCCCCATCTGTAAAATGAGCTGGAGAAGGAAATGGCAAACCACTCTAGTATCTTTGTCCAGAAAACCCCAAATGGGGTCACAAAGAGTCAGACACAACTAAAAATGACTGAATAACAACAACATCCACAGATAGCTATTTTACCATTTCTATGGAATTTTTTTTGCATATGGACCCAGAACTATTTGTCTTCCATGACAGTGATGAATAATTATTGGAGATGTGTCTCCTTGTCTATGACTCAATTCATGTTAAAGATCAGAACAAGGGTATCTCTGTAATAGTTTTCAAAGGATATGCATGAGAAACACCTTGGAGAAGAGCCTTTAAGATATTTTGTTCTGCTGAATCAAATGGGTTTTTCTTTTTTGGTAGTCAGTATGTTATAAATACAGTGGAATCTTGTGTTCTCTATATCTTTCTGTCGGTTATATAGTGGTGAGATATGTTCTACCATGGAAAATTGATTATAAAAGCCTTCCTGTTCCTTTTACCAGCTAGATGTTGCAATAGATAGAGCCCTGTTCCTGGAGTCAGGAAGACCTAGGTTCAAATCCATCCTCAGATACTTATTAGCTGTATAACCCTGGGCAAGCCACTTAACCTCTCCATACCTCAATTTCTTCAACCTTAAAATGGGGATAATAACAGCACCTACCTTAAAGGTTATGAGGATCATATAAGATAAGATTTGTAAAGTGCTTAGCACAATGCCTGGCACAAGGTAGGTGCTGTAAAAACTCCCCTCTAGAGTCCAAATGTGGTGGCTTCCACTGTTCTTAGTGGTAAAGAGTGTTTTTTATTGAGAAGAAAAATCTTTGCAGATCTTTTCCATCTTTTGTATTTTTGTTCTTTCCAGCTTCAGTCATACATACATATACACATAAGCCTATGAGTTAAGTCATGAAAGTATTGTTATGCCCATTTTACAGATGAGAAAAGCAAGGCTTAGAGTGTAGAAGTAATTTGCCTACAGTCACTCTTAAGTGGTATAATGAGCTCTTAAACCAAGTACTCCTGCTCCTGCTTTCCCATTCTACTACATTGCCTTATGAAAAAAATCTTCATGTCTTCATGCCCAAGTTAAATACCCTTCTGGTATGGAAAATTTCCAGCAACCTCTCAAAACCTTAAGACTACACAGTAGCAGTTTAACAAACATTTGTTGAAGGAGTTATATCAATTTCTGCCCATCTAATCCAGGCTTAAATTCTGAATGAAAATGGAATATACCATTTGTGATTTTCTTGTGTTTATGTTCATCCTAAAAATGCCTTCTTTACTGGGTTTATATAGGGTATCACTAACCAGGGAGTGAAGGAGGTAGGGGACAGACACTTTGAAATCTAAATCGAAGCACACTTGGTGTGAGAAATGAATTATTTTGAAAACCATTAAGTCCAAAAAGCCCAAAGCAGAGCTAGGGGAGGAATGAAGGTTGGCTGACCAAAATGGAGGCCCATTGGGAGGTACTCACCAGTAGAAGAAAGAGAGATGGCACGAAGGAGGAATATTCCAGGGTGGGGAATCCCCATGCACTGAGAGAAATTCCAGAGTGAAATGGTAGCCACGGATGGTTTCTGGTGTCAAAGTTCAGAAAGTCAGAAGCAGAACAATAATATTTGTACTACCTGCCTCACAATGTTATCATGAGAATAGGATGAGAGAATATATATCCAGCTCACTTTGTATTAACCACAGGGCATAGTGGTAAGCACACAAGAGGTATTAATAGTGGGGGGGGGGGGAAGAGGGATTGAATTTGGAGTCAGGAGACCTTAGACAACTCATTTAACCCTGAATTTCCTCATCTCTAAAAGGTGATAATAATACATGGACTACTCACATGATAGGTTTGTTATGAGGAAAGTAATTTGTAATCCTTGAAGTTCCACATAAGTGAGAAAAACTGTTATTATCAGCCTCATTTGGCAATTCAGAGAGGTTAATCAACTTATCCAGTGCCACACAGCTAAAGAATTATCAGAACATGAACCCAGGTCTTTTGACTCCAAGTCCAATGTTCTTTCCACTATACTGTGTTGCCCTTCACAAGTAACTATGATACAAGGAGAGAATATGAAAAGTGTAAAGGAGAGGACTAGGGAGAGTACAGTATAAAACTTAGATGAGCACTTGAAAGGCAGGTTGGCATAGTGGAAAGGATGCTCATTATGGACTCAGAATCCAGAAACCTGCATTCAAATCCTGGGGCAAACATGAGCTTTGTGACTGGGAACAAGTTGCTTCTTTCTCTCTGATCTTGTTTCTTTTCATGTAAAATGGAGATAATATTTTCCTTACCTACTTCACAGGGTGGTTTATGTGGAAAGTGTTTTGTAAAATGCATGGGTATTATGAATAGTCAGTGAAATTCATTGATTAAATGAGCTTTCAGATGCCTGATAAACATTGCCTAAACAGAAGTTTCCTTTAAGGGAGTTGGGTTTGTAGTGTCTCTTCACATGTTTGATTCCATTTCCCTATCCTGATTATGGTAGTGTTTTCTTTTAGGGACAACAAAGAAGACAAAGGAAGGACATCTATTTTGGAGATGGCCAGAGGAGAAAAGACTGGCATGATAAAGAAGCAATAAGAAAGGATGCTGAGCGAGTAGGTATGGACAATCATTTTCAGTTTTCCCAGCTAAGACATTCTGCATTCTTTGTCCTAAGGACGGATGACTCTCAGGGTAGCAAGGCAAGAAGATGAGCAGTCACACCACCTGAGAAGGAACAACAATTACAAGGATGAGGTAGAGAGTTCCCATAGTCCTGCTTCTGCAAAAGGATTTTCCTGTTTGTGATTCTAAAGAAGCCTGAAAGTGTTGACACCCCGATATGGCATATACCACATTAGAACTTCTAATTGGTTGGTATAATCCCTCCAGGTCTAACAATGACACAGCTAAAGATGGTATTCTCTCATGGTATATTCTTTCTTGGTATATTCTCTTGGTAGCAACTTAAGTGCAAAATGATTATAATAGAAATTTCCTAGACCTGGAGTCAGTAAACCTGGGTTCTAGTCCCAGCTTGACCACTTCCTGCTTCTATGAGCTGCACTTTCCTCATCTGTAGAATGGTGATGATAACAATAGCTGACATTTATCAGTGGGCAGGTAATTCCAAGAGCCCTGGATATAGCATTGACCCCCATACCATCAGCCCCATTTCCAGCCCAGCCAACCCATTTTCCAGAGTAGCCACCCTTGTAGAGATGTGACTGTGACCTGTCAATTCCCACTGCAGGTGCTGCCATCCCCTGCCTCAGCGGCCATAACTACCAAAGACTCAAAAAAAAGAATTTCTTACCATCAGATCCCCTGGCATGATCAAATGATTCCACATTAGAAAGAGATACAGTCTTGTCAATAGAAATAGCTTTAAAGAAGATGCATTACCATTTTCTTTGCCCGTTCACCATAAGTACTGTTGGGCCTTTATATCTGACTGGTCCCAGAAATTTCCTCTCTATGTTATCTCCTCCTGTATGTGTTGCTCCTTGACAGCAGAAATTGTCTTGTGTTTCTATTTGTATCTAGAGGGCTTAGCGCAGTGCTTTGCACATTGTAAGTATTTAATCATTGTTTGTTTTTTTCTCATTCATTTATAAACCAGTGGCATGTATATTCATATTGTAAAGTTTACAAAGTACTTTAAATGCTTGGGATTTCCACAAGAGCCCTCTGAGGCAGCTACTACAGGCAGTAGTAGGCTATTACACATGTAAGGAAAATTGGACTTGGAGAAGATAAACATCTTGCCCATTCTCACACAGCAAGCAAGAATCTGAGGTGGAATTCTAACCTAATTCTCCGGCTCTAAACCCAGCTCTTTCTGATACACCTTACCATCCCTTCCTACATCATAAGGATATTGTATAGTTATACACTATAAATTGCTATAGAAATTAGAGATACTATTGTTATTACTTTGGAGATTTTGTTCTGTTTTATTTTCTTTTGGTTTTTTTTTGCACTTTGGCCCTAGGAAATGGAGAACAAGGAAAGCCTTATCCCATAACAGATGCAGAAAGAGTGGACCAGGCATACAGAGAAAATGGATTTAACATCTTCATCAGTGATAAAATTGCTCTGAATAGATCCTTACCTGATATCCGGCACCCAAAGTAAGCATACCTTCTTTGAAACTTTAATGAATATCTCTTAATCCCTGTTCTTACTCAGATAACATAACTTCCCTGCTCAAAACTCCTGCGTGTCTGAACAGTGTTTATCAAATAAGATCACCTGGAATTCAAAATCCTTTATAATCTGGCTCCAGTCTCCCTTTCCAACCTTATCTCAGCATGCTCCCCTTTACCTACACTATATTTCAGCCAAACTGGACTATCCACCAGTGTCTATACATCCTGCCTTCTCCTGTCCTTGGTGCCTTTACTCACACCACCTTTTATACCTAGAATGGACTCTCTACACACTCACAGCCCAGTCAAGAACTGCTGAATTCCCTGCCTTGCTTTAAAACCTATCAGGTGCTACCTCCTTCCCTGACCCCTACCTACCACCTTAGCTGAAAGCAATATTTAAATATTTTTGTGGATCTCAACCTTTGCCTTATCATCAGATATTATGGTTATTTGTCTGCATATCTTATCCTGTCTTCCCATCCCTATAAGTGTGTAAGCTCCTTGAGAACATGAACTATATCTTACTTCATCTTTGTATCCTGGGTCTTACTCATAGTATGTCTTCTACGCAATAAATTATGTTCTTTTTTCAGTTATTAGTGGGATTGAAGCAAAGATTTCAAAGCCTCAAGACCATATTAAATTTGTAGAGATTATAGCTTTTGATTTGATCATTCAAATGCTATAGTCTAAGTGATTAAAAAAAGAATCTGAGTGGTAGAGTAGAAAAAGCAGTAGATTTCTAGTCAGAAGACCTAACTCGAAGTCCCAGCTCTGGTACTTGTTAGCTGAGTAATCTCAGTGGAGTTACTCAATCTCTCTAGGTCTCAGTTTCCTTATCTGTAAAATGAAGATAATACCTATTCCACCTACCTCTCAGAATCATTGTGAGGAAAAGCTTTATAAACTATAAAATGCTATAGAAAAGTGAGCTGTTTTTATTAACATAAAATCTCCTCTCATCAGTTCTTAGTGGCTGTCGCTCAGATAGTAGCCCCTGCCAATAAGGGCAATGTAGTCTATGGTTCTTTTTCTCTCAAGGTCCTGAGGGGTCCCTGAGTTGATATTCCTGTGGGCTGGCAACAGTGTGGGGCTCTGCCTGTGATCTGCTGCTGGCTTTCCACCAAGCCCACCTTTCAGCAATCGTGTGGCTTAGCAGTCTGTAACATGGCTAAATGTATTACTGTGGCCTGACTCTGAATGTCAGGCAGTCTCAAAAGCCATTTACCATTCATAGTCCCTTATAAATTCCATATTCAACAGCTTGATTTTTTTCACATCACAATTTATTGGCCCAAGAAAGAAATTCATTTGGAATCATTTCAGTATGACTGGTTACCCTCCTTCTAAACTAAATTTCACCTTTTTAACTTGACTAGAAGTCAGGAGACCTAGATTATAATCCCAACTCAGACACTAAAATTATATTCCCTTGTGTAAATCACATGCCCTTTCTAGCACACAGTTTTCCCAAGTTGTATTTAAATGTATAAGAGAGTTCTTAATGTGGTATGAGAGATCTGAAGATGGAGAGACTGGATCAAGAAAAAAGAGGAAAAGACTAAAAGGTACAATAATATCTAAAATGGCTCTTTTATAGTGGCAACAAACTAGAAACCAAGAGGGTGTCCATCAACTGGAGAATAGATGAAAAAATTATGGTATAGAAATGTAATAGGATACTATTGTGAAGAAATGAAAGAGACAGTTTCAGAGAAACCTGGAAAGATGTATGAATTCATGTGAAGTGAGCAGAAAGAAGAGAATAATTTAAACAATAATGACAGCATTTTAAGACAAACAACTTTGAAAGACTTAAGAACTGTGATCATTATAATGACCAACCACAGTTCTGCATGCTATTTACCTCCTGACAGAGATGATGGACTTCGAGTGCAAAATGAGTCATATTTTGGGATGTGGCTATTTCAAGAATATTTTTTACTTGATTATCCATTTTGGTTTTGAGAGTTTTGTTTTTCTTTCTTTGTTTTTAATTAGCTGGGGATAGAGATGAAAGAAAAAAATAGATTTTTATTCATTGAAAAAAAATTTTTTAGATGGATTAATTTCAGCTGGTGGTAGTAGAATGCTTTGTGGAAGAAGAGATGTCATTTAAGTCTTAAAGAAAGGGAAGGATTTCAAAGAGTGCAAATGGTGAGGAAACAGAAATACATTGCAGAGATAGAAGGTGAAAGGTATAAGGAAAGGCATATATGTGGGAGAAAAACCTAACTGCGAGTTACCCCCATTGGCTAAAACATTGAGAGCTGGAAAAGTGGGAAGACACCAGATTATGGAAGGTCCAGAATACCAGGCTAAGGACTTTAGACTCTCATAGGCATTGGGGAGCCACAGAAGGGAAGATTATGCTAGTACAGTTGAAAGGCAGTCAGTACCACTAGTTATTTCTGGGTCCTTCATGGACATGGGCATGGGAGAATTTTTGACCAATACTCTTTTACAGGTGCTAGAGAGGCCCATGACCCCAATCATCAAGCTGGTCCAATCTTAACTTACATTTAATTCTCCTTTCCAGGAGGCTCAGCTGTGCTATAGCTAAGACATCAGCTGGGGGATCTATGAGGGTTATCAGAAGATGGCCAGCTCCTCAGTGAGACTCTCTTCCAACATGGTGGGAGAGGGAAAAGGGAGGACAGGCTTTCTTAATGCCAGCTGGCCAACTTTGCCATGCAGCACAGAGCCCAGATAGCTCCTAAATGCTTCAAATCAGGGCCAACCTGTTTCAATTCCATTTTCAGAGGTGGTTGTATTTACCAAGGCAGTTTCTGGAGAACAAGAGGCAGCTGGTAAAAACAAACAGCACCTCAATCTAGTATCTGACACATGACTGCCAGAATTCAGTGTGTAGCTGAATAATGATGACAATTCCACTGAAGACATTGTCTAAGCTAAAAGGAAATTGCACTTGTTCTTCATATACCTTAATTTGCCCACGAGTTTCCACTGTCACCTAGATATAAAACTTCCCACTGAGAGAGGAGAAGCTCTTCAAAACATTTGTCAACTTTTATTTTCTGAAAAGCTTGGGTCCAGAAACTCCAGAGCCTGGTGACTGAAAAAGAAGGACCTTTTAGACAGTACAGAGAAGGACTTCTGGACCATGAGAACACTGCACATTAAAAAAAAATGTATTGTTATCTTTTGCTTTTACATCACCTTCATTTCCAAATAGATCCCTCTCTCCTCCCCTCCTTTATCCAGCAAGCCATCCTTTGTAACAAAGAATTTTTTAAAGAGAAAAAAATACAATGCAGCCTAAGCATTTAATCAACAAGCGTTTAAGTGCATACTGTGTACCAGGCACCACGTAAGCCTTGAGGATAAATACAAAGACATCCTTCTAATGGAGGAGACTGCATGTACCTATGTAAGTATATACAAAATAAATACAATATAATTTGGTCAGGGACTATACCATCAGCTGAGCTGCAGGGGGATTTGGGGGGAGGTGGTAGGAGCAGGGGTCAGGAAAGGGTTATGTAGACTATGGTGCTTGGGCTGAGTCGTGAAGGAAACCAGGGGATCCAAGAGTTGAAGAAGAAGAGGGATTGCATACCAGGTGTGGGGGACAGCCTGCGCAAAGTCATGGAGATGGAGTGTTATGTTGGTAGAACAGTGAGTAAAGCCAGTGTGGCTGTATGAAAGATTGTGAGGAGAGAAGTAAAATATAATAAGCCTGAAAGGGTACTTATTAAAAAGGGGCAGTGACAGGGGGCTGACAGAGAGAGGGCAAGGATAACACATGATCAGACCTGTACTTTAGGAAAATCAATCAAGTTTGGCTTTGTATGAAATATTTTACACCTATGTACCTTCACTTCTGCAAAGCAGGGAGTAGATAGATTTTCTCACCTCTTCTCTAGGGTCATTATATAATCACAGTGGAGAGCACTGCAATTTCATCTCAAGATACTGATGGAAGGAAGGAAATAAGCATTTATTAAGCATCTACTATGTGCCAGGCACTGTGCTAAGCACTTTACAAAAATTATCTAAATTTGATCCTCACAACAACCCCGGGAGGTAGGTGCTTTTATTATCCTCATTTTACAGTTAAGGAAACTAAGGCACAGGTTAAATAACTTGCCCAGGGTCACATGGCTAGTCAACTTCTACAGCAGGATTTAAATTCAGGTCTTCCTGACTCCAGAACCAGTTCTCTATCCACTGTGCCACACAACTGCCTTTGTCACTGTTAGCAGAAGTGAAGTGCAGTACCAAGATAAAGTAGGAAAGGTGGAGAAGAGAACACTGGTGCTATCAGGGACCTTACACCACAGTCTTTGAACATAGAATATTAGAGCTGGAAGGAGAACAGACCTTAGGGATATTCAGTTCAGTCACCTCCTTTTACAGATAAGAACATTAAGGTCAAAAGGTTAAAAAAAAAGTCATAGAAGAAAAAATACCACATTCTACCATGTTAAAATTGAAGGGCATATTATCAGTACCATTTAAACTGTCCTTTATCTATCTGGGTTCATCACTTCTTTACCCTCATTATAAACTGGTGGACTGCCATGGACAATTTTTTCCCTATGGATGACTGTCTCTTCATGTACCTTACTTTAGGATATCTGTATATGATTCTGTGGAATAATGTGTATAGCTTCCAAATCGACTAATTTTGAGGCTTACATATATTAAAATAAGTAATACTGTAAATCTCTCTATAATAATTAAGTAATTTCAAGTGCATTATCTCATTTGATCCTCTGCTCTGCAAGGTACAGTTCCCAAATTCACATAGTCAGCTAACATCTGGGTTGCATAATTTTTAATTTTTGCATTTCCAAACAACTAGCAAAGTTCCTCATACATATTAGATGTTTAATAAATGCTATCCGAATTCAGTTGAAACCCAATTCTTCTTACTCCAGATTCATTCGCTGTGGCCTTAAGTTATGACCCCTGTCCTAGAGAAGCTTGTACAAAAAGGTAACTAATATTAAAGT